GCAAAATAATCGTAAATATAACGAACTAACAACTTGGAGATGGAGTGGGAGTGCCTCTATAAGCCAAATTATTAAGATCGCAAGATTAGGTATATAAAAAAACGACTAAGGTTGCAACCGGTTACCTTTTCTAGCATATTTTTGCTCTATTTGATAAAGTTTGGAATCTTGATCTGATGATATCTGTCATAGTACAAACGACAGCTTATCACAGATTCATCGGGGTCACAGGACGGTGAGCCGAAGACTTTTTCGCACAATACAGCAGTCTTCCCTACAACGCACTGCTCATTGAGTTTCCGGTGAGACCACATCAATAATTCCCTTAAATAAACTTTTTCTTCGAAATGGAAAGTCAGGTCACAATATATCGTCAAAGAATTCTTCGAAACCGAGTTTTTATTTATATCTTATAAAACCTCCCTGTCGTTCCGAACAAGTTGCGAAAAAGAGGTTCAAACAAAACTATATAGATAAAGAGGATTGTGACCAAAACCTAGGTCACATCATCATGGCCTCCTTAGCTAAGATCCAAATAATTCAATATAAGCTTTCTTACTCTTGACGCGGCAGAACGAAAAAGGGAGTTTGCCGTTTGGTCTGTCTGATTAAACGATAAGGCCATCTCATTAGAGGCTTCAAACTGAGGCCCACTGCTATCGTTTAGATGAAGCAAATGCGAGCACTGCATTGGCTCATCCTGGCTTGATGTGATCAAATCATGTGGGCAATTTCGTTTGATCGAGCTATATGAATGAGCAGTTGATCCATTCTTTTGGTATCCATCATCATACCCGATTTCATTGGCCTGATGCAGCTGCAGGGTGGTTGAGGATTCACAATCGCCAAGAGAGGAGGTAGGAAGTTGTCTCTGGACAAGAGAAACATTGGGTGACTTGAAGTTCATGTCAAATGCTGTATAATCAGGAAAACCAGAGCTTGAAAGATAAGAGGCTTCAACTTGTTTCTGGCAAAATGTATCACTTTCGGCCTGTTCGGACACTCCATTAGAGGATGATCCACAGGCCGATACAAGAGAATTTAATCCTAGGTCAACTTGGGAATTTTTGGCAAAAGCAGGAACCATGTAACCTGATGAAAATGAGAATTGATTAAGTGGTTGTAAATTAAGAGGTTCAGCTGTTGAGCCAATCGACAGACAGATAGCAGGTCCACCACCGTAAATCTTTTGCAAATAAGACCACTGGCTGATGGTTACCATTCTAAACTGAGCTCTCTTGCGCATCCGTGAGGCAGGTAAAACATTAAGACCATTCTGCGTATCTTTAAGCATTTCACTGGCATTCGATGACGCCTGAATGCAGAGATCTGAAGCCAATGGAACTGCAGAAATAGAAGGATTATTTTTATCCAAAAGGGTAGCATTCGTGATGGGGCCGGGCGCATCTGACAAGATAAAATAGAAATACATGATAAATGGGAATGAAGAATAATTTCAGCACTCGAAGTTACCAAAGATATTTAAGGTAGCGGAAAAGTATTAATTGAAGTAATGTTAAAACGCAGATAAATAAATTTTAGCCGCACTTAAAATATAAAATCAGGACTTGCTGCCCATGGAATCATACGGATAAAATTTTAAGACAAAAAATGTGCACTAGAGTTTAATGTTTTACCTGTATAAAAATTACGTTGTTCATAAATCGGAGAATAACACAACTACTATTAATGCAGTCAACCAAATGTCGTTGATTGGAATACGTCTTGGAAAGCAGGCATTTTATCATAAATCAAGTTAATCATAATAAATGAAAAGGCTAAATTTTAATACTAAGCTTCATTATGAAGGAGATCATTAAACAAAATTTAAACCCAGGATTACATAGACTATTCTTTATTTAAGTCCTAGAGCACCACAATGAAATCCAAACGCAGCAAGTTCAGAGGCAAACTTGCCGACCCCATGGGCAACATTGATAAGTTGCCAATAAATAAAAGGACATCCGTTCGTTGTGTTGTTATAAGTTCGTATCTCCCTGGAGTAACAAGGTTGAAACTAAAGAATGCTGATATAGGAAAAACAGTACAATAAAATGAAGATGCATCATCGATCCATCGTTATCAGCTCAAATATAAATGGCCGCAGCACAAAAGAGTGTAGACCGGTTAAAATACCAGTGATGAAAAGATGCAACAAAAACATTAATATAAGTAAGGACAGACAATAAGAAAAATAAGCAGATTAATCTTAGACTTCATCCTAAAAATATCTTTAAAGGTCAGACATAATTGAGAAGAAATCGAGACAGCTTTTAAGGACGAGAGAAAACCAAGGATTTTCAATTCCCCTACATAATCCTTTACCCAAGCTAGCTCCCCATAATTAATTCGTAATTTCATTTTTAGTCCGTTCCAGCCCAGATACATTTATTTCTGACAACAATTTCCTTACAATTGTGCAGAAATGCTAATTACCGGACAAAAATGTTACCCACCTTAGATCAGAAAATTAACTTTCGAAAATGATAAAGAATAATTCTTCTAAGTAGCTCAACTCCAGAGCATCGTAGAAACAGTCACTATCATAATCTTGTAGTTTATCTTGTGTATTAACAACCAATGGCTGAACACCGCAATGCTTTTATGAAATTAAAATATCTTGCAATCGCATATTCACCTCAGGATTGTATTTTGTCTTAAAAAATACTAAGATATTACTCACAATATCCAAGAGCACATCCAGAATAAGATATTGAATATTTGATGGGGTGATTAAAATCAGAACGATAAGAATGAATAGGATCAATTACATAAAAATAAAATCCTACCTGGAATGAAGTATATCTTAATGCAAATATAGAAAAAAAACTTCACAAAAAATATAGGATCAAGTTATCTCGAAACCATTCAGTCTAAAATAGATGGTCTACTAAATAAAGGAGTAACAAGATAGGCGAACAAGTGGGAAGGTGA